ACTTACATTACCTAAACTAATACTTTTAACTTTAAACTAACCCTACCCTTACGTTTTTAGTTTAAAAAGTAAAGTACTAACTAGTCGCGTCCTTACCGTATAAACGTAACCGCTCTCTCTCTCTCTCTCTCTCCCTCTCTCTCTCGGGCAATGGCGTTCTGAAAAAAAAAAATGGGCCTGGTAATTTATCAAGACGGTCCGACACTAATTGTTTATGGAAAACTAAGGGGTCTGGCAATTCTTAAAGATGGTCCGACAACAGGGGTTTTGGAAAAATATTGGGTCCGGCATATTATACATGCGGTCTAGCACATTTTGATTCTCGCATATTTCGAGTCCGGCAAATGTTAAAGGCAGGCAGACATGTTGGCATGTCCTTTTCTCGGTTTGGCAAGTCGACGTGATATGCCTACGGTTTGGCACATGGACCTTAGGGTCCGGTAATATGTTCACGCGGTCTGACATAACCATGTCCCGATATGGCAATATTGGCCTAAGGTTGTCTTCATGCGGGTCTGACACTTTTTTCTCATGGTCCGGTACTACGTTCATGAGTCCACGCCTTGTCCGGCCCAAAATAATTTATTTCGTAAGACCATTTTCTTTAAAAAAATATGCATATTTTTTTAAAAAAGAAAGCCCCACCTTAAAGGGGGTTTCTTTTTTTTAAGGAAAATTGTTTCGTGCGGGTTGGACCGCATGACTGCATATGCGGTCCAAAAAGTGTAAAGCATCATCTTAAAGATGGATGCAAGTTGGTGTTTTATCTATAAACAATGAAAACTAATAGTTCAAATGTTTTTTTACTAGAAATATTATTTTTAGTTTTCAAAATTTATTTATTTTTTTATATTCATGATCTCCATATTTGAGATTACATGTCCTTAAAAATTAAGTCAAAAGATCTATCTAAAAAATAGATTTATTAAAAGGCTTGCATTTCTATATATGCGGGCCTGGACGTACGTAAACCGGGTCCTTTTCTTAACAATTAAAGGGGTTTTTTTTCTCATTAAAAAATATACAGTCTGACGTGCAATTAAATTGGTTCATTTCTTATTTTATTGAAAATATAAAAATAAACCATGCTTCAAACGAGGATCCTTTTTTTTTAAAAAAAAATGCAGTTACAAAATGACGTGCAGGCAGGATTTGATGGGGAGTACCTTTTTTTAATTGAAAACTAACGCAGTCACAAAATAATGTGCAGGCAGAATTTGATGCTTTAACCTCTTGTTGAGATACCAAGCCTTTTGCAATAAGCGACTTAAATGCTCGTAAAGTTTATATAGAGCGAGGCTCTAAAGAAACAAATTTGAGCGTGCCTCTAAAAATTTTAAATTTTTGTTGAATAGGGATATTTTGATGCTCAAATATCCTGAAATTGATAATCTCGACATCAAGATGCATGAACATAAGAAAAAAATGAATTTCAAGTTTTGGAAGTAATGTATTTTTGACCGTCAATTGTCAAGATTTTCAAGTTTTACTAGATTTATCGTCGATCTACACCATTTTTGGAGCTTTAAACTTTATAAATAAATATGAAAATATATTTTAAGACTATCACAAAGATTTTCAGTATTGAAACCACATTTCTCGATACTATTTGAAGATACGTTCTACTTTGATTGTTTAGGGCCTAGGCTCTATACAAACCGCACCCTTATCTATATGTAGGATAAAATTTTGATGTAGAACCGAGGCTCTAAACAATCAAATTAGAGCTCATCTCAAAAATTTCATTAGAAAGGTTGTTTTGATGCCCAAATATTCTCGAACTGATCATCTCGATATCAAGATGCAGGAACATAAAAAAAAATGGATTTTAAGTTTTGAAAATAGTATATCTTGTAATGCATTTTTGGACTGTCAATTTTTAAGATTTTCAAGTTTTCATATTGAAGCTTTAAATCTTAAAAGGGTGCGGTTTCTATGAGGTTGCAACCTTAAACAATCAAATTAAGGTGCACTTCCAGATTTTATCATAACGTACAATTTTGGTATAAAAATATCTTAGGATTATCTGAAAATCTATTTTTATATTTAATTATAAAATTTTAAACTCCAAAAATGGTTAAAATCAAATAGATACCAT